CCCCCCCCCAGGCAAATGGCAACGAAAATCGACAAGGAGGCGTGCAGAGAAGCCTACAACCTCGTCCGAGACGATGGCACGGATGTTACCTGGTAAGTTCCAAGCCCCCTCTCCCGTTCCGAGTCTCCTTCTGGCGAGTGTTCTCTGCGTGGTGCAGCCTGCAGGGAGAGTCAGCCAGCCCCGTCGCCCTGCCCTGGCCACAGACTTCTTGCAGTGTGAGCAGGTCTCTGCTAGTGGCCTCTCCTGGAAATTTAAGCTACTAAGCGGAATTTGCGCCTCTTATTATTCACCTTGACCAGCTACAATACACCCCTAGGATTGCATTTGTAGTCTGGAAACACTAGACTCCATGGAATTTACTCCAGTCTCTATGAAAGGGCTTAATGTTCTTAAAGAGTCTTTTTCCCCATCCAAGCACTAATACCTTTCTTTCCCCTTCCCAAAGGGTGACTTTTAAATATGATGGCTCTACCATAGTCCCTGGAGACCAAGGCACAGACTATGAAGCCTTTATAAGGGAATGCACAGGTAAGACCAGTCTCATTGCTTGTGGATTGCAGATACTTTGTTGGTGCCTAAATAAAAGGGAGGAAAAAAAAATTAGAGTAAACTTGTGTCCAGGGGGATTTGTCTCTGCTTGTTTCAATAGTTTATTATCTCCTTCTGTCCAGATTGGATTTTCATACTGCTACAGGGTATAACTAGCCCAAGGCAGTGTTCCCACACAGCAGTCAAACTCTTTAATAATTCCTTTGTTTCACCCACAAATTTAAGTATGTGCAGAGGGTTTTTTTTTTTTTTTTTTTTTTTTTTTGTACAATGACTGGGAAAGTACTGATTTCCTTCCAGTTTCTCTCCACACTGGAAGAACCTTTAACTCTGATTTTATTGTCTTAAATGATGAACTCTTACTGTGCAGAGATAAATACCCATTTAAGTTACAGTGGCTAATACAGCCACAAGATTAAAATCTTTGCTTAAAAGAAATGTACAATGCATTCTTTGCATAGCAGTAATGTAAAGGCTGTCCTCGCTATAAGTCCAAGATAAGTTTAAGATGTTTCACTATAAGTCCAACTTTTTTTTTTTTTTTTTGAAGTGGGGATTTTTTTTCCCTGCAGCTGGTGTGTGTGTGTGTGTGTGTGTGTCTGTCTGTCTGTCTGTCTGTCTTAAGGGGGGAGGAGAGGGAATGGGAGGACTTATAATGCATAAGTTCCTACAAGTGTCAACTACTTTAGTGAGTAATGGATGTATAAAGGGGATGCCCTGGATGCAGTAAAAAACCCACTTCTTAAAAATCACAAAAGTTGAGAATTAATAGAATGAAAAATTAGGAGACTTTGTTTGAACAAATAGAGGGTTGAAAAGAAATTGTGACATCCTAACAGTTGCAGTTCAAGGTTGAAATGCGGCAGCTGTGTGTTCGGTTGTGTCCCAGAAGTAGTGCTAAAGGGCTGATGGAAGGTATCTGTTAATGGAAAGGTGGAACACCAGGAAATAGTTAATTAAGAGGGAAGTGTTTGCAAGAACTTATCTTGGTTACTTTCAAACTGTCGCTCTGGGAATACTGTATGCTGCTCCCCCACATGCCTGTTGGCGATGTGCCATTTAATTCATATGATGCATGGCAGGCATGAACTATTTATTGTTACTTGTTCAAGTACTAGCATGGATTTATTTCAAAATGTTGGTCTGTACTTCTGGCAAAGCCTTCCTGGCTCATCTGTCTTGGCGATGACTTTTGATTGTCTGCAATATTAATTATCTGCCTCATGGAAGATGAGCAAGCACTGTTCTACAAAGGAGTACCATAAAATGCTAACCCTGACCTGAGAAGGGTCTTTGGTCTGTCCAGAATGTGCCCAGCCATGAAGCCAGCTAGGGTCTCATCTTCGCACATTGAATTCAACAGGAAAACTTCCATGACTGTAAATGGGAGAGGACTGGAACTGTAATCAGTAGCTGTTGGCATGGAAAGCTATTAAATACCTGAGGGCTAGAATGTGTAGTCATTGAGTCAAGATGCCTTAATTGCCCTAGTCAAACCCTTGCGGGAGGATGCTGTCAGTTTGCACAAATAACTTTTTTTTAAAAGAGCATTAGTCCCCAGCTGATCTCATTTATTTTGCTGAGAAACTTAAATTCAAGTAGCTGAGTTGGATTCCTGTGCCCAGAAGTCCGAACTCTTTTCCCCGTGTCAATCGGTGACCTTTTAAGAATGGAGGGCGTGGGTGGAGCTAGCATGCCAAAAAAAAAAAATGCTGGACGAGGAAGAGGTACAGGTTGAGCCTCTCAAGTCCTGCACTCCTGTGACCTGACTGCTGCCGAAACAGAATTTGCCAAACCACAGGAGCCAAACTAGCAGCATGACCAACACTTCCACTACTTACTGGGCTCCTAGGAGACATTTAGGGGTAAATTAGAACTAAATAGCAATGCAGAATGCTGACCACCAGGACTGGTGGCTGAAAACAAACTTTGAGACTGTGGGGAAACTTGACCACACACATGATGAATGGACATCCGGCTACCTAAAACCATGCTGGACCAGAGAGTTCTGGACCAAAGAGTGCTAGACTAGAGAGGTTCAACCTGTGTTTGTGTTGAGAAGTGCCGGAGAAATCCATTTTGAAGGAGGGATGTGTGTCTGGATTTGATCACCTTCAGTGCCTATTGACATCCATTGTATTTGTGCTCAGCTCTTCTGTGATTCACCTCATTGCAGTGATTTCTAGAAGTCCCTTTAGGGTTGTCCCCTGGTGTGCTAATGATGCCACTGATGCCTGCCTTTTTGCTCCATGGGGCTTCCCACCACCACCGCCCTGTCCTGTTGAGCCAGAACTTCTGGTCTCCCCTGTCAAGGCACAGATTTGGAGTTATTGCCCCTGTGCAGAGCAACACAGATGCTGAACCAGCGCCGCTTCGGGAGAGTTCAGTACCCAGGAATCTGTCCCCCAAATGGGACAAAAACCCCAAGTAAATCCTTCTTACTCTGTGTAAAGTTTTATACAGACAAAGCTTAGAGGAGGTCTTCATCAATGAATGAAATTTTCCCCCTCCCCCTTCCTCCATAACAATTATTTACACTAGGCTTGATAATAAACAAGTGGGGGATTTTAGTATTAAAAAGTAGGATTTAAGTAGCTGCAAGTAAGATACTAAATGCTTAGCTAATTCTGATCCACTAAAACTTGTTACCTGCACATTCTTACCCTGAACAGCTGTTCTTATTTCAGGTAAAGAGCTTTGAGTCAGAGTTGATTTTTATTCCGCTTGGGTTTAGGCTCATTTTGGTAAGAGAGGGTCAGCCACAGGGCTCTGGGTTGGACAAGGATGATTAATAGCTGAGATTACTCAATATTTCTCTCCCCATCCAGTGACTAAGATAGTCAAACAGCTTCTCAGGCTGGAACCCTTCCACACTTATTTTCTCTGCCATTTATTTTTAAATCCCAAGTCTCTTGTTTTGTTTTGTCTGGCTTGATTCTGACTGCTTCCATATGGGGAGTGATTGACCACCTCTTCCTGACCCATGCTGCTTACCTGCTAGCCTTTCCTTAAACATCCTCCAGAGCAAATAGGTGAGAGGTGAGGCTCTGTCAAACATCTGACCCCCCCCCTTCCCCCCCAAGATCTTCTCCTGGGCACACTGCAGAACTGGGAACTGCTGGAGTCATGACCTCTTGGGTGCAATTTCACTTCCTTGCCACCAATTTAGTGTCAACCCCTTATTACAGGTTGTACCTCCAAAATTTGGCCCTCTCTGGTCCAGCAACATCCCTGGTCTGGCAGGACCACAGATGCTCCTGGACCAGCAAGCCTGGAGCTTAAGGGCCAGCCGGGTTGGGCATCAGGGTCAGCAGCCTGGCTGGGGGCAGCATGGGATGGGGTCAGAGCCCTGCAGCAGCCTCTAGCAGCCCCTGGGAGAGCAGGAGCTGAGTCTGGAGCCCCATGGCAGTGTAGGGTCTGAGTCCCCGCAGCAACACAGAGGAGTAGAGGGCCTGGGTCAGAGCCCCATTGCTTCCCCTGGCTGAGCTAGGCTGGAGCCCCTGCCCTGCGGCTGCTCCCTGTTGCACAGAGCTGGAGCCTGTGCTGCCCAGGGAGCTAGCAGTAACTGGGCAAGCAGACTGCCAGCAGCAGGTGATGCGCTTGGGGGTTGGTGGCAATAGACCTCCCCAGTCTGGTAAACTCTCTCTTTCGGGACTGGTCCAGTCCTGGCAATGCTGGACCAGGGAGGTCCAACCTGTACAAGCAGCATACTGAAAAGGAGCTAGCCCAAAGGGGGATTCGCCCTACCTCTTCTCAGAGGGAATGTCTCAGTGCAGAGCTGACCCCAGTAGTCCCGCAGGTCCTCCAGCAGGAGTAGTGAAGCTCTGTGAGGCTCGGACTAGAAGAGGGAGGATTTTATATGGGGGCATGGCCAGGATAGACTTTGCATTAACCCATGGTAGGGGCAGGACTCAGCAGGTCTTGACTAGAAGATATAAATATGTGAAGCACGAGAGCCTGAAGCTTTAATAAGCCATAGGAAGTGAAGAAGTGCTGGTTATAGAGACTGGGCCAAGTGACAGACAGCCACTTCCTCCACCCACGGGCTAACGGAAGGAAGATCTGCGAGTTTTACTGGCTCCATCTGGGCAACCAGCCTGAGCTGCGCCACGAGGCCTCAATCCAGAAACAAGATTGGTGTCAGTTGCAAAGGCTGAGCTTTCCTTCCCAGCTGGAGGAAAGGTCACAACCCCTTGGACACGGTAGAGCTCGTTGGAAAATTTCAGTGGAAGCAAAAATTCCTTGGAAAAATGGGCCAGAATTCCAGCCTCACTCTACCGGCAGGGTGAAGTTGAGGGGGAAGGGAAAAGAGGCAACAATAGTTCCTGCCAAAATAGGAAGATAGATGGGACTTAAAACCATGCCACTGGCTTCATAGTAAACGTCTTTCCTGATTGTGGATTCCTAGTGCCTGAACAATACAGGTTTAATTCTGCCTTCCACCCCAGCCCCCAAGACCTGCAGCTGCCTTTGTAGAGTGTCCTATGATTCAGTGGCTGAAGTAACGAGTGGGAGCTGGAGTACAAAACCTCAGCTCGTGAGGCGTAGGCTGAGGTACCTCCGTGCAAATTCGCTCTGCTCGGCTTACCAAACCATCTGTTACAGTTTGCTTTCAAATAGAAAGCATCTGGGCCTCCTGCTTTCTCTAATGGCCATCCTTATTAAAAGCACCTTGGCGCAGTGTGCACATTGCTTTCCCCCCTGGGCATTTAGAGGATGGGGGAAGGTGAAGTCAGTGGGTTCTAATTCACTTGGCTCAAAGATCCAGGAAGTTCTTTTGTTCATATTCTTGTGGGGTGGCTGGCGTTTTGCACTTCCTGCATTGTGTTAGGAACTCTTGGAAGAGTTGCCTGCCCAAGAGTAAAAAGATGGTCTCCTAGACCAGTGGTTCCCAACCTGTGGTCCGCTACGGTACTGCAGGGGGTCTGTAGAAAGTTTAAAAATAAGGATTGGACCTACCATGGTGGGGGTCTGATCCT